GCCCCCGCCCGGCCTCACTTACAAAGTCAACAATGAAACTGCTAGCTAGGTAGTGGGTTAAATTCTCACTAAACAACAGTTAGTCCCCTGAAAGTGGGGAGGAAAGAGTATAAAGTTGGGTCTTAACCTTGTTCTTTCTGCCAAAATAAATTTTAAGGGTACCGAAAGATTAAACATAAAATTGTGAAGGGGAGTAAGATTGAACAGAACAGGACCTACTAAGCATCATGTAAAACCTAGAACTACAGAAGGAAAGATGAATGAGTCTGACTATATACTAAATTTAAACGTGAGTACATATAACATTTTGTATATTGTTAAAACTGTAACTTTTATTGTAAAAAAAAATTTAAAATTTAAAAAAAATTGTAAAGGGAGTAAGATTGAACAGAACAGGACCTACTAAGCATCATGTAAAACCTAGAACTACAGGAGGAAAGATGAATGAGTCTGACTATATAATACATTTAAACGTGAGTACATGTTCATGTATGTGTAGGTAGGGGTGTACGTGCACGTGTGCACATGCATGTGGAGGCCAGACTTCCATGTCAAGTCTTGATCTGCTCTCTAACTTATTTTTTGAGACAAGGTCTCTCACTAAACTTGGAGCTTACAGATTTGCCTAGACTGACCTGTAAGCCCCAGGGATCCTCCTGTCCTTGCCGACTCAGTGCTGCAATTACAGGAATGCAATGCTATGCCCAGATTTTCACATGTGGGCTAGAGATCCAAATTTGGGTCTTTCATGCTTGTGCAGTAAGCACTTTACCAGTGGACTCATCTTCCCAATCCCTAAATTTAAACTTTTATACAGCCAAAACCCAAAAACCCTTTGTGTCAAAAGAAAGCAAAAAGTAGCCTGGCATAGTGGTGCATGCCTTCAATCCCAGCACTCAGGAGGCAGGCAGATCTCTATGAGATTAAGGCCAGCCTAGTCTACATAGTGAGTTTCAGGCCAGCTGGGGCTGCAGGGGATACCTGGTCTTTAAAGAAAGAAAAAAAAAAAGGAAAAAGTGACAGACTGGAAAAATAATTGGTTTGTATACAGTCCACCAATAGACTAAAAATCCTTACAAATCATGTCAAAAACAAAATGACAGAAGAATGGATCAGAAATGACCAAACATATTCGTAAGTGGTCAAAATAACATGAAAAGATGCTCAGCCTTGTAAAAACACTGGAGTGCAGGCCACAAAAGCACCCAGCTGCTGATACCCTATTGGGTTGGAGAACAGGGCAATGCTGAGCAAACCCACTGCTGAGCATCATGCACTGTAGGTTGGGACATAGAGGCCTTTGGAAGGGTGAGCTGTCACCGTCAATCCAAATCTGGGGCCTGTTTACTCTGGACCTAGTAGTTCCACTTTGAGAACTGTATCCAACAACTGCACTCAAACACGTGCATAAGCACACACCCAAGAATGATCTTTACCACCTTGTGCCAAAAGGTGAGCCCACTTAGTGTGTTGTTAGCAGGGCTGGTCAGCCATGTCGTAGTGTCTTCCCTCGGTGGGATACTTTTAATCATGGCACATGACAAAGATATTCCGCAGAATAAACTTGTACAGCATTCTCAATAGATTGCCTCAATCAATAACAACAAATATACAGATACAGGCAAGAATGCTCACTTTACACTTGTACACACAGAAATATTTAGAAGAGTAACAAGAACTCAGTCATGGCTTCCTCTGGGAAAGAGGCATATGAGGGGCAGGAATGGGTGACTTACAGCCAACCTTCCTTTCCTGCTAATGGAATTGTTTCACCATGATTACTGAAAGGAAAAACAACTGTCTTAATGCAGTGTCCAATATTTGAGCTACCTTGTGCACTGTGGATCCACTCCTGCACAGCAGGTCCCTTGCGATCTTGTCGGACATTGATTTCATCCCTGAGGATCTAGGGAACAGGAGGGCCTTCTTTACAGCAGAGTGAAAGACCTGAGGTCTGGGTGGCTGAACAAAAAGCCACCACAGCACTGACAGACTTTGCTAGCTGGGAACACACGTCTGGGCTGAGTAAGAAAGAGGTGGTCGGACATTGATTTCATCCCTGAGGATCTAGGGAACAGGAGGGCCTTCTTTACAGCAGAGGGAAAGACCTGAGGTCTGGGTGGCTGAACAAAAAGCTACCACAGCACTGACAGACTTTGCTAGCTGGGAACACGTCTGGGCTGAGTAAGAAAGAAGCGATGGCCCACTTGGCTTGGTGGTCTGTCTCCCTCCTTTCTCCCCTCTGCTCTTTCTTTCTTTGGTTATTGCTGTGTGTGACACAGAATCCAGGTGGAGGGCAGAGGACAACTTCCTAGAGTCACTTTTCTCCTTCCACCTTGTTGAGGTGGGGTCTCTCTTGTTTCTGACACTCTATTCTAGGCTAGCTGGCTCCCCTGCTTCTGGGCAATTCTCCTGTCTGGACCTCCCATCTCACTGTAAAATTGCTGGGATTACAGATGTGAAATGCCACATCTGGCTTGTTGTGGGTTGCAGAGATCCAACACAGGTGGTCAGGCTTGCATGGCAAGTGCTTTTACTCACTAAGCCATATCACCAGCACTGATGATATTCCTTACAGCACATGTACCTCAACTGATACACAGTGTGTCTATAAACTTAACATAAGAATGGCATCTAAAAACAAATGCCTCTAGGTTACTTGTCCTCCATTATGTCTCTCTCCTGAAATAAAGCTTCCTGGAGTCTAATACTGCCATGCCATACCTTAGTCTCATAATACTTTGTTTGTTCCTTTTCATGTTTTACAATTAATAAAGCATATGGTGAGTTGTTACAAATGGCCATCTTGCAACTTATTTCACATCAAATAGCAAACAAGAGCAGCTACTCACAAAGATGAGTCCGCCAAACGTGAGCATGGTAGGGCCAATATTAATTAAAGTTGTCACTATCATCCGGAATCTAGGAGAAAACAAAGTTTCTGACACAGAGAAGACATCAAGCAAAATTGACTCCAAATTTGCACTTTGGGCTTAGGTCTCTTCCCTTGTATCTGTTATTTATTTAGTGGCACTGAGGATTGAACCCAGGGTCTTAGAACAGATAAGTCAAAAAACTACCACTGAGCAATATCCCCAGTTAGTTCTATAAAGGCTGGTGGTTTTGCCTTCATGGTTGCCACCAAGCTGTTCCCCTGAAGCCAAGTGAGGCAAGCATCATGAACATTGAAAAAGTGGTGCAGAACAGTCTGCTAATAAGAGGCACACGGGTGGGAAGCTGGATGCTTCTTGGCCTCAGCAGCTTCTCTTCTCTGCATCCTTCCCCATTGTAATCAAGCCCCCGGGCTTATTTTGACACTTTCTGGAAGAGCAAGCCATTCCTTAGATGGAAGCGCTCTCGCAGCACCCCTTGAAGGGAAGCTGGCACATCAAAAACCAAGGCTGCTGTTTACTATCTAGGCTCTGTGGTCAGGCTCTAGGGCTCGCACTCTGGTTCTATCTCTTGTTAGCTATCACCTCTAGGGAGTTACTTAACCTTTCTAAGCTTTAGTGCCACCACCTGTCAACTAGGATTCACAAAAGTCCCTTTATCAAAGGAATGTTAGTGTGCTGGAGTTGGCAGGAGCAGTCAGCGTGACCAGGAGGTGCAGTCCAGGGCCAGTCACAGGGATAGACATAACCATCACAATCCCCACCCTTGGAGCTCACATTTGAATACTCTTCACTCATCTACACTGGCTTCTCTCCCCTCCCTGTCTGCCCCCAGAGAACCCCAGGTCCCCCACATAAACTATGTGCTGGGTCCATGGACAGGTGAATTTGCAGTTCTGGGCGGGACTGCTTTCCACCAGTTGCAGCTCCCTCACATCAGTCACTCCATCTGCACTCCTGAATGCTGACGATGACCCTCAGGAGCCGCAGATTTCTCAGTATCTGGACAATATCCAGAATTTGTTGACTGTTGTATTTTCTTGCTGGAAAAAAAAAAACCACAATCCTTTAGTATTTCAGTCTTTCTCAGCACCTCTGACTTGTCTTTCTTTAAATTCTGAGAGTCTGTGGGGCCTGGGAGGTGATGCAGCTTCATTTCAATGGGGCTGGAGATCTAGCTGAGCAGCAGAGTGCTTTCATAGCCTGTGCAAGGCCCTGGGTTCCTCAGCTCAAGGGAAAAGGGGAGAAGAAGGGCGGGGAGGAAAGGGACAGGACACTGAATCTGAACAACTAGGAAAGAAAAATACAGCCTTGAATTGGAACCTCCCCAGCAAGTCGAAGCCAAGACAGGGAAGTAGAGAGCTAAGCAATCCCTCTTCTCCAGCCCCAAGCTAGGAAGCATATACAGGCATAGACTCGGCCCTCAAGAAATAGCTGTGGATCTAGGTGTACAATGCACAATGCAGCAAGCTTCCCCAGAATCCATCTCAGTATCATGTTAAAAAAGATGAAGAAACTTAAACAATTCCACATGTAGGTCAGTAAATCATGGAGCAGGGTTCTGTGTGGGCAGAACCAGAGGAGGGAACAGAGAAGAGGAAGAGGGTGGTGGGCAGGGAGAGTGCATAGTTCCTGTGTGGTTAGAACTTTGATGAGCGGCCATCGCAGACAAATGGCCAAAGAGTAGAGGTCATCCCTGAGACCACAGCCCAGTTTTCAGAGACGTGTGAGGATTTAATATGATGGACTCTTGCAAATGAAATTGCTAAAATATCACATGACTAAGTACAAACACAACCACCATCCTTCTTAAGAATATGGAAGGTTTTTGCAGACCTGGGGATAGAACCCCAGGTAAGTACTCTAGGTAAGTACTCTAGGTAAGTACTCTACCATTGAGCTCTAGCCTCAGCCTCTTTGAACATTTTAAATAATTTTCGTTTCCCTCTCCATGGCTCAAAAGAGCAATAATGGGTGTTCAACAAAGACTCCTAATTAAACTTTGGACCCAACAGGTGGTGGAGCTGAGGGTGAGTGGCACTGACCTGACTGAATAGTGGCATTGGTCACAGTGGCCACAAGGGCTGCAACGATGATCAGCATGTCGAACCCAACAGTACAAAAGCAAAGTTAGTTAAGAATCAAGGTCAAGACACAGTTCTGGGAAAACTTTGAACTCAGTGTCTTGTGCAAAACAATACTCCCACTATAAAATGGATTTGAAAAAATAGGGCAATGAATATGAAGCAAGAAACCCTATATTTGGACAACCCTATGATCAAAGAATCACCCCAGGAATCTGTAGAAGTCAGCTAAATCATATCACTTTGTCTTTCATAATAAATCTCTACTTTTAAAAATATTTCAACTTATTTTCAGAATACATAATACTCTTTCTAGTCATTAATTTTATTAAATGTATCATAATTTTTAAAATGCTTATTTGTATTATTTTTAAAAAATCACCTGTGTGTGTGTGTGTGTGTGTGTGTATGTGTGTGTGTACATGAGTGTGGATACCTGAAGAGGCTAGAAGCATTGGAACCACTGGGGCTGGAGTTACAGACCTTTGTGAGCCACCCAATAGAGTGTTGGGAGCAGAACTCAGGTCCTCTGTAAGAGTTATATGCATTAACTGCTAAGCCATTTCTCCAGTCCCATAACTTTCTAACTGAAGAAGAAATTTGCCATGCCACACGCTTTCTGACCATGGCACCAAAGAACAAGAAAATTTGGACAATAGTGGCCACTTACTCTTTAGCAACATGCACTTGTAACAAGTTTCCTGGCTCTTACAGTAGTGATCACAGAGATCCAACCCTACCCAGCTGTGCACTAATGAAGTCTGGACTGCAATTTACAGCTTTGTGTTGAGAGACCTCAGTGACTCGATCTTGGACAAAACCTCTATGGGACTGACTCAGCCCTAAATCCTGTTCCAGGAAAAACCACACAAAAAGTATACTTGAAACAGATAGAGAACAACTCCCCTGCCAATGGTCCATTAACCAGGGATAGAAAAGTACTAAGAGTCCAGATGTCTCTTCAGATTTCCTGAAGGCAGCAGTTATGGTTTGACACTGAGCTGCAACCAATCAGATGCTTGCCAGGCTGGAGACCCCTACTTGCTGAACTTGCTAAAATAAAACTATAAAAACCTCTGTCTCCCAAAGTAAGGGGTCTCACATCTGAGATCCTGCTGGGTAGGTGACAGAGTGGGCCCAAGCTTAAGCTTGCAACAACAAAAAAACCCTTGTGTGTTTGCATCAGTTGGCTCCTTGGTGGTCTTTGGGGTCTCACGAACTGGGCACAACATCTTGGGGGCTCATCCGGGATCCCCAAGACACCCCCCCAGGACCCCCAAACCGAAGGGTTCCTGGCTGGCCAGTAAGTGTCTGTTTGCATCTAGTTGTGCCTGTCCATGTCTGTCCCAGCTTTTGTTTTGAGCCTCGAGGCAAACTTGTGAACAGTGTGGTCAGGAGTGGTTGGAGCGGACGTGCTGGATAACCGTGACCACAGAGGTCTGGAAGACGTTCCAGACCCTGGCAGAGGGGACAGAGGGCCCCAGACTCTGTTGATTTCTGTGAAAGGACAAGGCAGGTCACTCTCACGGTGCGACAGTTCGCAGCTGTCCTACTTCCAGTTTTTCTTCCGCACGAGCAGGGGAATTTACTACTTGGCCTTCTGCATGTCTCTCTGGCTCTCTGTTTTGTCTTTGGTTGTCTATTTCTTTGTGACTGAGACTGATGCAATGGGATAGACTCCCTCTACACTCCTGGACCTGGTTCTTGCACATTTTGGAGAGGTTAAGACTCGAGCCCATAACCTCTCTGTTGTTGTCAGGAAGGATAAACTAACTACTTTCTGCAGGTTTGAATGGCCCACTTTCAACATGGGATGGCCCTCAGAGGGGACCTTTGATCCCATTGTCATTAATGCGGTTGAGAAAATTATTCTTCAACCGTGTGTAGGACACTCAGACCAAATTTCATACATAGCGGTCTGGGGAGATTTAGTTAATAACCCCCCTCCTTGGGTCAAGTCTTTTCTTCCTTTACAGAAAACTGAGGTGCTGACAGCTGCAGAATGGAAAACAACAACCCAGAAAGCACCTAAGCCTGAAACTAAACCATCAGTACCGTCACTGTACCCTGTCTTACAGGGTAGCACAGAAGAAGATCTAATTTTTCCTTCCCCTCCTTATGCACCCCCTCCACAGGAGGTACCCCCTCCAGAAGCGGCACCCCTGGTACCAGATTCTTCACAGCATGGAGGGACTGGCTCAGGGGACTAGGAGTAGAAGGGCAGCAACACCGGAGGGTCCAGACTACTGTTTTACCTCTCAGAGTCACCGGCCCCGCAGATGAGGCCGGCAACCAGCCCCATCACTATTGGCCATTCGCCACTAGTGACCTTTACAACTGGAGAACCCAGAAATCAGACTTAGAGGGAGAAAACCTGGAGCCTATTGAAAAAATGGATTTCACTGAGGTAAAACCTGACAGGTACAGATACGGTTATTTGCTAGTCTTTATAAATACTTTTCCAGGATGGACTGAAGCCTTCCCTATGAAACATAAAACAGCTCAAATGGTGACAAAAAAAGCTTTTGAAAGACATCCTCCCCAGGTACAGCTTTCCACAGATGATAGGGTCAGATAATGGACCAGCTTTTGTGTCCAAAGTAAGTCAGAGTCTGGCCACAGTTCTGGGGATTGATTAAAAACTACATTGTGCTTATAGACCCCAGAGTTCAGGAGAGGTAAAGAGAATAAATAAAACTCTAAAAGAGACCTTGACTAAATTGACCTTAGAGACTGGTGGTGACTGGGTGACGCTCCTTCCGTTCGCACTCTATTGAGTGCATAACTCTCCTTACCAGATGAAATTAACCCCCTTTGAAATCATGTTTGGAGTGCCCCCTCCCATTATTCCTAACCTCCAGGCAAAGAAGATTACTGAATTTAAAGATCGGGATCTGTTGGACAACCTCAGGGAAATCCAATGGACCCATAAACATGTATGACCTAAACTACATGCTCCTTATGAGACAGGACCCCCCCCTCCAGAACATCATCGATACCGACCCGGTGACTGGGTCTACATTAAGAGGCATCAGCAAGGATCCTTAGAGCCACGGTGAAAGGGGCCCTATGTCATCCTACTGACCACCCCCACAGTCCTCAAAATGGTTGGTGTAGCATCATGGATCCACCACACACATGTACAGCCAGCTGACCCATTTGCCATAGAGGACTGCACATCCCCAGCTTCAGGATGGAGAGTTCCAAAGGACCCCAACAATCCACTCAAGCTAAAGCTCACCCAATTTTCAAACTGTTGACTGTATATACTCTGTTCCCCATGATAGCCGCTCCTGCTCCGGGAAGTTCACATCAACCTATAAATCTGACTTGGGTCCTCCAAGATGTGATAGGAGATAATATTTTATGTCAGATCTCCCAAGTAGCACCTTGGGCTACTTGGTTCCTAACTCTGCACTCCCATTTAGATGCTTTCTTTGATTTCAATCCTAAGGGAGGCACACATCCTTACACTCTAACTCTCCAGGCCCATACAGAAAACCAGGCAGGTTCTATGTTTGCCCAGGACCTGGAACTCCAAATACAAGTCCCAGAAAAACAGATGTGGAGAGGATAGAGCTACTTATTGCACTCTCTGGGGATGTAAAGCAATGGGACACATAATGTGGACCCCCCCCAGGGAGGAGATCTTATTAAGATAATGTGGGAGCAACTGATGCCCACTAATCCTCATAAAAATGGTAGGCTCGATATTAGTTTTACTAAAAACAAAAAGAGAGCCACCAGCTAAAAAGCAGAAAAAAATTGAGGAATAAGACTCTATGTGGGCTGGACTGAACTAGATCCAAGAACTTTATTCTCTATTCAATTAAGAGTAAAAGTTCCTAAGTACCAGACCCATTCAGTCTCCCTGGGACCAGGTGCTGTTTTAAAGGTCACCCCAGAATCAATCTTGTCAACCATAGTGGCCCCCTCAAATAATGGTTATTCTGACAGCCATGGCCTTCCTGTAGGCAACACTGACTCGCTTTGGTCGCTAATGGTCCAGACTTGCCAGGTACTCAATGATACCAGGCCAGACCTCACCTCATCATGCTGGTTATGTTAGTCATCAAGGCCCCCTTACTATGAGTCATAGGAAACACCACCCTAGAGCTGGACCAAGGCAGCTGTAGATGGGCTCAGCAGAAAAAAAAACAGGCTTACACTACAAGATGTTTCAGGATGAGGGCTATGTATAGGCAAGCCCCCTCATGAGCACACTGCCCTATGCAACCAGATTCTGCCAGTGCTGGCCAATAACTCGTACTTGATACTATCAGATCAAGGATGGTGGACATGTACCTCGAAATTAACCTTATGTGTCCATTCTAAAGTTCTTAACCAATCATCAGATTTTTGTGTTCTAGTACAACTAATCCCTAAAATTATTTATGACTCAGACTAGGATATAAATAGGGCCCTGACTGGGCAAGGACCCCTTCACCATAATCGCCAGGAAAGAGAAGTTGTTACTGCCATCACCCTATCCGTTCTTCTGAGATTGGGACTGGTAGGAGCAGGTACAGGAATTTCAGCCTTGACCTTACAAAGCCAAAACTACCATAGCCTTAGAGATGCAATAGACGCGGACATCCAGAACTGAAAATAGTCTATTTCCCATCTACAAGAATCCCTAACCTCCTTGGCAGAAATGGTTCTACAGAATAGGAGAGGCCTAGGCCTGTTGTTCTTGCAGCAGGGAGACTTCTGTGCTGCCCTCAAGGTAGAGTGTTGTTTTTATATAGATCCCTCTGGGGTCATCAAAAAATCCCTGGCCAAGGTTAGAGAAAGTCTGGCTCAAAGAGAAAACGAATATAGGGCTAAACAAGGATGGTTTGAATCCTGGTTCAATAGCTCCCCTTGGTTGACCACTTTGATTTCAACCTTACTCAGACCCCACCTCATTCTGATTATGCTCTTGACTTTTGGACCTTGCATTTTAAATAAATTGGTACCTTTTATAAAAAAGAGACTGAGAGCTATACAGCTAATGGTAATGCAAACCCACTATCAATCCCTCCAGAGTCTGGGTAATAAAAAACATGAGATGAGGGAGCGCCCATGATTGGGCCTCCAAAGTACTAGTCAGAGGGGGGAATGAGAGACCTGAGTGACTCCATCTTGGATAAAACCTCCATGGGACTGACCCAACCCTAAACCCTGTTCCAGGAAAAAAACCACAAAAAAAGTATACTTGAAACAGATAGAGAACAACTCCCCCGCCAACGTCAATTAATCAGGGACAGAAAAGTACTAAGAGTCCAGATGTCACTTCAGATTTCCTGAAGGCAGCAGTTATGGTTTGACACTGGGCTGCAACCAATCAGATGCTTGCCAGGCTGGAGACCCCCTACTTGCTGAACTTGCTAAAATAAACCTATAAAAACCTCTGTCTCCCAAAGCAAGGTGTCTCACATCTGAGATCCACTGGGTCGGTGACAGAGTGGGCCCAAGCTTAAGCTTACAACAATAAAAAACCCTTGTGTGTTTGCATCAGTTGGCTCCTTGGTGGTCTTTGGGGTCTCACAAACTGGGCACAACAGTGTCTCATAGGGCCAGATGGCACACAGGATACACCAGTCAATATGCAGGTCCAGGGCCACTGTGGACTGAGGTGTCAAAGAAGACCAGGGCTCCAGGGAGACAGGTCCTGGGACCAGAGAAGAGCTGGTTCACAGTCCTTACTCTCTAGTCTCACAAGCTGAATTTTCTCATAAGACTGTAGTGGGCAGAGGAAGCTGAGGAAGGAACTGTCCCCTTGAAAATGGTGTACTAAGACTGTTAATATTAGAAATACACATTTGTTTATTCCCAGCTCCCAGCTGGAACTCTTGTATTTTGTGCTCCTCCTAAAATATTTTTAGTGTGTGTGTGTGTGTGTGTGTGTGTGTGTGTGTGTGTGTGTTTGAAAAAAAAAACACCCATGTGGAAGTCAGAGGACAGCGTATGGAGTTGGTTCTCTCCTTTACCATGTAGGTCCTGGTAATTGAACTCATGTTGTCAGGCTTGATGGCAAAGCACCTTTACCCTCTGAGTCACCTTGTCAACCCTGTTTTCCTTTTTTTTTTTTTTTCTTTTTCTTTTTTGGTCTTTTTGAGACAGGGTTTCCCTTTAGCCCCAGCTGTCCTGGAACCCATTCTGCGGACCAGGCTGGCCTTGAACTCACAGAGATCTGCCTGCCTCTGCCTCCCGAGTGCTGGGATTAAAGGCGTGCACCACCACACCCAGCTGTTTTCCTTTCTTAAAAGATCTTTTGCAACTCCAAGATGCCACAGCCTATAATTCTAATTTTAGCTACGGTCAGTTCAAATTAGTATTATGAATAACAACTTTCACTAAACCAGATGTTTCTCAGTCCCTGAGATCTCATATAACATGCCTCAAAACTAAGCAAATGGAACTTGGACATCTGAGCAATGAGTCCCAAACCATGTCAGAAGCCCCCTCTGGTGCCCTGAAGTCACCTCTCCCCTCCACAGACAGACAGACAGACAGACAGACACATACACACACACACACACACACACACACACACACACACACACATACTCACTGGTTCCAAAATAGGCTGTGGGCTCATATGTGTACAGTTTCAGAAGAATCTCAATAACATACAGGAAAAGAAAGAGCCATTCTCTGTGCGAAATGAAGGGGATTTTCTCATGCAAGGCAATGAATATGGCATTGATTAGAATGATGATATCATAAACCCAGACAAAAATCCTGGCATGAGGTGAAAACAAAGAAAGTAGAACCTGTCATCACCATACAAGTGAAAGGTGTGAGTCTCTTCAGAACCTCCTAAGGCCGCTGTGTTTCCTGGCCACATGATGAATATCAGATCTCCTCAACACACAGTCATCTCCAGGAGGCTCCAGTGGAGCCTGGCCCTCCCACTGACCTGGTGCAGTCCTGCTCTCCAAGAAAACCATGAGGGGAACAGAAAGAGATGTGACCTAGTTCAGATGGAACCTTAGGCAGAATGGAGCCACCACTGGCTCCAGTGTCACCCCGTGCCACTGATAATGCTGACAGAAGCACAACTATGGAAGGTAGAAGAGGGGCTAGCCCAGGCTTCTCTGTAACACCACAGAGGCCTGAGCCCAGCACAAAGGGTGGATGTGAGCACACCAAAATTTCACACACATCAGTTGTTCAACATGGGGATTAACAGAAAAAAGCCTCTGTATAAAAAGCCTTGCTAAGGATCAGATAGCTAATATCTAGCAACTAAAAAGGATACTTTCCCCATAGCTGGAGAAGTGGCTCAGTTGTTAAAAATGCTTGCTGATTTTCCAGAGGGCCTGAGTTTTGTTCCCAACACTCACGTGGGACAGCTCACAACCACCTGTGGCTCCAGATCCAGGGGATCTGAGGTTCTTTTCTGGCCTCCACAGGCAGTTGCACACATGTAGCATACACTCACACAGACAGACAGACAGACAGACAGACAGCTAGATGGACGGGGACACACACACACACACACACACACACACACACACACAAATAGAAAGTAAAATATTTTCTTAAAAAGAATATTTTCCCATGTCAGGGAGTTCTGAACCATTCACTCTTATGAAACACTACATGCAAAGAAAGCAGGACGAGCTGTGTCTGAAGATGAATCGCTACTGATCAGGGCATTCCAGCACATACATACAAGACCTCCAGGGGCTGAAGAGATGGCTCAGCAGTTAAGAGCACTGGCTGCTCTTGCAGAAGATCCAAATTCAGTTCCCAGCACCTGTACAGCAACTAACAACTGTCTGTAACTCCAGGTCCAGGGGATTTGATGCTCTCTTCTGGCCTCTGTAGGCACTGCACACATGTGGTGCACTTACATACATGCAGGCAAAACACTCATACATGTATAATAAAAAAATTTTAAGTCCTCTAACCAGGATAAATGCCTCCTTCTAGTGGCGACCTGCTTGAAATTTAAGGGGAAATAAAAAAGCCTCCTGGCCTTCTTAATCTTCCAACAGTGCAGATTCATGAATTCTGACCATATAAACATCACAAGGTCATGATTAGGTTTGGAATGTAGTTCAGTTGGTAAAGTATTTGCCTACCATACATGAAACCCTGCATTCAATCTCCAGCACCACAGAAACCAAGTGTGATGTCACATGCCTGTCATCCCAGCACTTGGGAGGTGGGCAGGAGGGTTAGGAATTCAAGGTCATCCTCAGGTACATAGTAAGCCTCAGGCCAGCCTAGGCTACATGAGACCCTGTCTCAAAAATTAAACAAAATAAAATGCCATATTTAGTATGAATTTTGTGTTCTTCTGAATGATGTTAAGATATCTTGAATTCAGAGAGTTGCGGTTTCCCTGACTCAGAGAGCATGACCAGCCTGCGGTCCTTGAGAATCTTAGGCAACATCACAGAAAGGAAGCCTAATCTAGAAGACTGTTCTTCCAGCTAAAGTTAAAGCTAAAGATCATAGCCTTTTCCATGTCTCCCTGAGAAACCAGTAGCTCCAATGATGAAAGACATTCAACCTAGACAACATCAATAGTCTTCTATTCATAAAGCAACCCCATAGAAAACTGGCCCATCCTATTCGCCTGTGCTGAACCATCCTCTGGACCAAGAGGCTGACAGAAGACTGGTATACCCGTGGTATCCAGGTTTCCAATGGATGCTTCTTGATGTTGATGATGAATGCCTGGATGTTGAGGAGGTCAGCCAATCGGAGAAAATTCATTTTGTCTGTAATGAGAAAAATAGCCCATGCTCCATGATTACTGTAACACTAAGGTCAAAGAGTGAAGCCAGGTCAGCTTCATAAAAGCTGAGCTCTGCATTTTACCTGAGGCTCCAGAACAGTGAAGGCCAAAGACCTCGGAGCACCTGACTGTACTCAGGCCTCCCACTCATTCTCACTCAGAGCATCAACCAACTCTAGACAGCATGTTAAACCAGAAACTCACTGGCACTTTCCTTCTCAGTTCTGTGAAGCGAGGACCCATGCTGTATTCACAATGTAAAAACAGTCTGCCCTCTACATCTGTGGGTTCCACATTTTCAGATTCAACCAACTACAGATAAAACTATGTAAGAGAAAAGAAACTGCATCTATGCTGAATACGTGCATACTTTTTCTCATGATTCCTTATGCAATCCAATATAATGTTGTTGTTTATGAGGTACTTCCATTATAGGTGTTATAAATAATCTAGAAATGATGGAGCTGGAAAGATGGCTCAGCATTTAAGAGCACTGGCTGCTCTTGCAGAGGACCCATGTTTGATTCCCAGCACCCACATGGCAGCTAACAACCATCTGTAACTCTAGTTCCAGGGGATCAGACACCTTCTTCTGACCTCCACAGGCATTACACAACACAGATGCACTAGAAAGTAATCTAGAAGTGACTTAATGCATATAGGAGAGTATATGAAGGTTTATGCAAACACAGCACCATTTTATCTAAAGAACTTGCACATCCTCAGATTTCAGTGTCTTCAGGAGGTCCTGGAAGCAGCCTCCCACAAAGACCAGAGGACCACTGTGCTACTTTCCCCATTTCTTTGGGGAAGAGGATGATGAGAGGCAAAGGTTCCTTACCCACATGCCCCTTCTGTCCCTTGTTGGAGATCCTCAGAAGCAGCTCCAGATGGGAGCTGCTGATGTCTGGCACCACCACTTTTGGCAGCTGTTTCCACGTGGCCTCCATCACCACAAACTCTGCACCCACCTTGACTTTTAGAATATTGAATGCCTCTATCATTTTGTGGTGCTTCAGGTAAGCCAGTCTTTTGTGAATTTCATTCTTAAAGGAAAAGTTAAGCATTTTAAGACAAAGACTCAAGGAAAAGTCATTTCTTTAGCTCTATGATTCAAGTTCATAGAGAAGCCCAGAAGAAGGCATGGGTGGTCAGCTAATGAGCAAGGTTCATAATCCCTCCCACTCTAGTCTGGTTTGCTAACCCACACAGTTCTTACCAAAATTCCATGGAGAAACCAGTGAAGGGCTTTTTGTGTGCTGAGAAACACAGCAACAGGAGGCAGACCATTCCCAGCTCCACTTTCCCCAGAGGGGAAAAGAGTTCAGAAAGGAAAAAAAGCGGCTGTGCTATTGAGGAAGAGAGAGAGAGACCCAGGGAGAGGGGAAGACAGAGCAACCACTGAGTCAGTTCAGAGAGAGGAAGAGGAGGAGGAGAAGGAGGAGGGAGAAGAGGAGGAAGAGGGACATGAAACAAAGCTAGAAGTTGTATGGGGATGACAGGACAGTAGGGGCCTTGTCTGAGCAGCTATCTGGCCTGACCACAGGGAATCTTCCAGGAATGGAAAGGCTCCGGTTATAACCAGCCTTCCAGTCCCCATGGACACCCCTACTGCTCCCTGTAAGTCAGTCACCCAACATCACCATCACTTAGTGAATTATCCCCACTAAACTGTGGATTCTTTTTGAAAATTTGTTGTTATTACTGTATGCATGTGTATGGGGTGTGAATTTCGCAGCATATGGAAGCTGGAGAACAACTTTGTGAAGTTGGTTCTCTCCTTCTGTCTCTAGGGATCAAACTCAGGTTGTCAGGTTTGGGTGGTAAACACTTTTACCTGCTGAGCCATCTCACTGACCCTACACTGTGCATTACTATTTTTATTTAAGTTTTTATTCTTTTTTTAATTTTACGTGTATGAGTGTTATGCCTGCATGTATGTAAGTGCACCCATGTTGTGCAGTGCCCGGGGAGGTCAGAAGAGGGAGTTGGAGCCCCTGGAACTGGAGTTATAGATGGTTATTAGCTGCCACGTGGGTGCTGAAAACCAAACCTAGGTCTTCTTCAAGAGCAGCCAGTGTTTCTAACTGTTGAGCCTTTTCTCCAGCCCCTAGACTGTGCATTCTCAAAGGGTAAGAGCTGGGCCTTAATCACTCTTAGCTACTCAGAGCACGGATGGTGCCAAACACATAAGTAAGCCTGAGATATGTGTGCTGACTGATGCAGGTTACAAAAGATTAATTTCACAGGAGTATTTCTCAAAGAAATACCTCTTTAGGATAGGGGGAGGCATAGCAACAGTTCTGCCCAACAGTGAAACACAGATACCCACTGGACCCTCCTGAATAGCCTTTTACAGCAACGGGAAGAAGAGGCAGAGGGACATGGCCTTGGGGTCAGAAGGTGTTGTGGCAACTTGGGATCTCAGCAGAGCCAGATACTTCCCAAGGCCAGATGGGCCAGGTCTGAGACTTAGTCCCACTGTTCCCTCCTCTCTAACTGCCACGCTGTAGCTGTCCCCTGCCTCCTGTTCCTTACTGGAACATCCTCAAGCAGTGGACAATTCAAAGAGAACAGAAACAAAAGGCAAAGGGTTATACTAGGAAGATCACCCTCTGATGAAAGGTTTCTCTGAGTGAGTTTTGATAATAGAAACAGTCACCAGAGGTATGTGCAAAGGGTGGCAATGGAGGAGGGTAGCTGAGATAGCTCAGGGGTTCTGGAGTATTCGTGGTTGTAAACAAAACATCCTTCCATCTCAAGAGTTCAGCAGCCTCTGCCTGCCCACCACCTCCAGGAATTCTCTAAACATAAATCCAACAGGCACAACCAGAGCAGAAATGCTTGGCTTTACAAATATTTGCTTTTGTTTAAGCAGGGAAAGGGGTAGGAATCTTAGAGAACATCCCCAACCCTTAGTCACACAACAAACATGCAAAGAGACTAGAGCTGTTAGATACATGGAGAACAGCAAGCAAAGCCAAGGACTTTGCACATGTGAAGGCAGATAGCCTAGCTAAGTCCTTTGTCCTTTGGATTTCTTTGGACATACCATCAGACCCATCACAACACTGATGAAGACACATCCCACTTAGCAGAAGGAAACAGAATGCCAACAAGTTTGGAGCCACCAAAGCTAAGGCTCCCCGGCCACTAAACCCAGCCCAGGTACCACCCTCACCCACCGCAGCCCCAGGCTTACATATGTTACCTTTAAGTGCTTCCTGTAATTGTTGTAAACCACAGCCAGAAAGATGGACATAAAGATGTAGGTATTGATGATGATGTAGGCTATAAAGGAGAGAGAGTACCACCAATTGAAGTTATAGGCAGGTATCCTGGAAGGAAATGCTATGTCATATGGCTATGTATACCCCACGTCCCCAGTGTGATTAAGGCTGACTTTAGGCAGCATCCCACAGGCACAAGCTGTGTGCGGGAAGCACTGCCACGCTTCCTTTCTCAGTCTCTGTCTTTGTGACTGGGCCTCAAAGCCATCACCATCACTGATGCCAAACCTGAGGCTCACTCTAACCTGCTCTACTGGAATTCCTAGTGGCAATGTTCAAGGAGCGGAGGACCTTAGATCTCCCAATTCAATTCTCCTTCACAGTGACAAAATCCAGAACTTGCAAAGAAAGCAACCTGCTGGGACTTACAAAGGGAATTAGAAGGATATACACTCAGGGCTCTGTAGGACACTGGACTACCTTGACTGGGGAGGAGGACAGAGCAATTGCTATCTTCATTGGAACAATGAAAACTGAAGGGCTTGTGGATAACTGTGGCATAAGTGGAGACTACCCGGCTCAATGTTATGGCTGAGCCCTCTGAGATCTAATAACTCTAAAACGCACCTCCACAAGGACTCTGACCTTATGAATGGATTAATCCATTGATAGGTTCACAGCTTAATGGGTTTTTTTTTTTTGGAGGGGGGGAGTTTGGCTTCCAGGAGGTGAGCAGCTATGTTCCAACACACACTCGCCACCATGATATCCTTACTCACCACAGGCCCAGAGTCAACAGAGCCAAATGACTATCGGCTGACACTGTGAGCCAAGATAAATCTTTCCTCCTTCAAGTTAATTTTCTCCAGTATTTGCATAGTGATGAAAATGTCACACCATTAGAATGGCTAAAATAAAAAAGATTGATCATACTAAGTGTTGGCAAAAATGCAGAGCAACTGGAACTCTGACACATTGTTGACAGAAGTGGGAAATGGTGGATTTACTTTGGAGAACAGTTGATAGAGCATTAAAAAGTTTAAAAAGTGTGACCCAGCCATTCATTCTGTTCCTAAGCACTTACCAAAAAGTAAGCATCAGTCCATGCAAAGACATGGTACACCCCCAGCCCAGGAATGTGGCATGTGTCAGACACACTATTTAAAGGCTGCCCATGACATGGGTGCACTTACATACATACACTCATACACATATAACAAAATAAAATAGATTTAAAAAATGAGGGTTCCCAACACTCTTTAAAAAACCAAAACCAAAAGAGTTGATGAAGGACAACAAGCACTGTAAAAATGCATGATCTTTTTGAGTTATGTCTTCTCAAGGCTGGTATGACAATTCATTTTTTGGTTGTTGTTTCGGTGTTTTGGCCTGTTTGTTTGTTTGCAGGGCTAAGAATCAATCTGAAGGCAAGCTCTCTACTACTGAGCTGTACCCTCAAGCTTTGGTATGACTATTTTTAAAAGTAATTTGTTAAAACCTAAGCAGTGGGCCTGGAGAGATGTCTCAGTGGTTAAGAGCACTTGCTGCTCTTTTAGAGGATCCAGTTTGGTTCCCAGCATACACATGGCAGCGCACAAGCATCTTTAACTCTAGTTCCAGGAGATCTAATGCCCCTCTTGTGGCCTCTGTTGGCACTAGACAGATGTGGTGCACTTACATGCAGGTAAAATGTTCATATACATAAAAAATAAAACCTAAGAAGCACCTATGTGCTTAATAGTAAGTGATTTTCTTTGCTCTACTTAAAACAATGTTAATAGAAAAAATTTTATATCAATTATCTTTCCACTGAGCATCTTTAACATTGAAGAGTAATATAATCCCCAGGACCAGAATACAAATCTATTTCAGGCAGAAAATGCCTAACATTGGTAAGACTTTGTTTTTAGCTTTTTAAAAAGAGAACACATAAAAGCTTTAAGAAAATTCTTGTAAAACTCAGAAGGATCGCAGAGGGACAGCAAAGAATTCAGTTATTCTGTTAATAAAACATATCATTCTTTACCTCCAGCAAAATTTATTTCTTGAGGTGCTGGGGATGGAACCTGGGGCTTTGTGCATTCAAGGTGAACATTCTACCACTCACTGAGCTACATCCCCAACCTAGCCAAATCTTTAAAGCCACTGCTGTCCCTAATTTTAAAAGATGAAATGGGGATGGGAATATGGGTCAGTGGTAGAGATGGGTTTGGTATAAGTAAAGCCTTGGTCCAATCCCCAGCACCAAAAAAAACCAAAACCACCACCACCAACAACAAAATCAATGACATTAACAACCTTGCCATGTAACCACAAACATAGGCATAGTGACAGTGGTGGATTTGAAGTGTATCATTCACACCTCTTCCAGGTGGAAAGAGGAAAAACACTACAGTGACCCTCAGCCAGCCAGCCCAGGGGTTGTGACCTTGAATGAAACAAATACAGCATCCCTCCTTCCAAGTGCCCCTTCACCAGGAGCCTGTCCCTGGTACATTAAATTCTCTTCACTTTCACAATACCTAGTTGACCTTTAAACTAGCACTCCAAAGCATTCCCCTTCTTTTCTAAGAATTTGCTTGATAATTTGAAATTCAAATCTTTCCTCTTCCAAGGTAAGCCTTCTTTCCTCCACTCCATTTTCTCTAAAGGTCATCAATGCGGCTGCCCCAGCACAGTTATCCACCACTGCAATGGTCCCAGCCCTTGGAATGAATGAGTGCTTTTCCTTCTTCATAGTCACCATCTTCTAGGTGAGCTGGGTACAGTGTTTAAATAGACCCATCTTTTGCCTACATGTATGTAAGTGCACCTGTATTGTGCAATGCCGGCAAAGGACAGAAGAGGGCATCAGATCCCCTGGAGTTGGAGCTACAGACAGTTATTAGCTGCCGTGTGGGTGCTGGGAATCAAATCAAGGTCCCCTGAAAGAGCAGGCAGCTCTCTGAACTATTGAGCCATCTCTTTGGCCTCAGAAGCTTTATCGTTTTCAGTTCCCTGCAGAGCTCCTTCATCCCACCCCACAGACTTGCTCCTGCCACGTGGCTTCAGGACTAACCACAGAAGGGCAAGATTTTCCATTCTTAGCAGGGATCACATTTGACAACTGTCAGAATTCTATATCCCTGCTCCCGCCATGGGATCTAGGATGAATTTTTAAATTTTTTATTTGTGTGTGTGTGTGCATGCATGTGCCTGATTGTCTGTATGTGTACTATATGTGTGTAGTGCCCACAGAGGCCAGAAGAGGGTGTTATATGCCCTGGAACTGTAGTTATAGGCTGTTGTGAGCTGCCTGATGTAGGTGGTGGGAAGCAAACCTGGGTCATCTTCAAGAGCATCAAGTGCTCTTAACAGCTGAGCCATAGCTCTAGATCAGTTTTTAAAGTCTAAAGGTGACTCAAATGTGCAGTCAAGGCTGAAAACCACTGATCTAAATATGACCATTTTCCCACTGGTTCTCACACAGTTCTCATTGCATTGTGACAATAAAGGGCTTCTCTCTTGGTTGGTTGGTTGGCTGGTTGGTTGGCTGGTTGGTTGGTTGGTTGGTTGGCTGGTTTGTTGGCTGGTTGGTTGGTTGGTTGGTTGGTTGGTTGGTTGGTTGGCTGCTTGGTTGGTTTTTGCCTCTCCTCATAGCTCTGGGCATTTCTTTTCCTCTCCTGTTCCCAAGACTTAAAAACAATTAACCAATTAATTTTTCTGTGTGTTTTCTCTCTCTTTACCTGTCCACAACTTTGTAAGCTTTTATTCTGAAGAAAACCAATCCCTCAGGATTTCCTTATAGGGAAGAGAGCACAAAAGGGAGAGAAAGATGATTCCAGAAATTTTCAGCAGAAATCAAGGAAGTTCCTTCTCTAAGTGCCCAACAAACACCCTCTTTAGTCTAACCTGTTATAGGAAGAGGTCATCATAAGGCCCAGACATCAAAGTGAGTCAACAAGAGCCATGATAGCATGTAAATTTGTTGATAAGGCCCTTTGAAAACACAGCTGCTATATAGACATGAAAACTAGCAAAACTGATCAAGGTCAAGAGAAATTGCCACAAATTTTAAGTTGACTTCTTCCCATCCCAGGTTTTCTTTCTGATCTTGATGCTCCCTCTGTCACTATAAATACTACACACTGTCTGTTTCCCTCTGCCTCCCCTTGACATCCCATACACTCATTCTGCTCACTGACAAAAAATAAATAAATAAACAAGGGCCAGCAAGATGGCTTAGCAGGTAAAGGTGTTTGTCTACAAGCCTGGCAACCTGAGTTCAATTCCCAGATCCCACAATGGAAAGAACTGACTCCTCAAAGTTATCTTCTGAGCCCCATATGCACTCTGTAGCATATGTGATCTCACATCCATGGGCAGAGTAATAATACTTTTTAAATATTAATTAATTTGAAAGACAATAAATCCTTGCTTTTCCCATAAGATCCCCATTCAAAAGCCTCTTGGCTTGGAGTGATTCTCCTTTTCCTGGGTAATCAAGTGTAAACTTTAGCTTGGGCTTTATGGCTCCTCAGTCTCCCTGCCCACTGCCCCCTCTCTCCAACTTTCTCTCCAAGGACACACTTCTCTGGCCCAAACAGGTAGATTCCTTGTTGGTTGTCTCCCACAGGCCCCACCTTCATTCCTGATCTTGTGCTTATGGAATTTCAGAAACAGACTTCCTACTTTCCTTAGTTGGAAGCCCATGTCAAGCTTCATTTTCTTGAGACCAGTAAATCTATCAGCTTACACTGCCACACGGAAAGAACTCCCTGAGAAGCTGGGTGGGGCTATGCCATGGATTGTGGCCAAGGGTACAAGGAGTAAAGCAGGGACAGTGACACTTGTGGCAAGGTAAATGAATGACTGGGTATAATGAAGTAGTCAAAATACTCCTGTCCTTCTATGTAGGAAGTTGCAAACCAATGACCAACAGGCCAAGTGCAGACTAAAGATGTGTTTTGTTTGGTCTACTAAGGGCTACTAATTCAGATTTTTTCAAAACAGGAGCTTATACAAAAATTTGAACTCATGGTTTCTATTTTTTTTTTTTTTAGTCTTTTTGAGACAGGGTCTCCCTGTAGCCCCAGCTGTCCTGGAACTCATTATGTAGACCAGGTGGCCTTGAACTCGCCTGCTTCTGCCTCCCGAGTGCTGGGATTAAAGGCGTGTGCCACCACGCCCGGCCATGGTTTCTATTTTTAAAATTATAACATCTGGCAACACAGAGAGGTATTACAGAAAGTTTTTGACCCTCACTCTGATACTTAACCAGCTGAATAAACACTTATTTTCTTATATTTTGTAGGTCTGTCGGGCAATCTTACCCTAGGCTTACTGAGTTGAATCTTTCCACAATGAGGCTGACTGCCTTCAGAGAGTACTGTTCACATACATGTCTTAGCCATGTGCACCATAGGTCAAGAGTCCAAGTGTCCCCAGAAGCATTAGGAGAGCAAGCATCATCATACAGGCACTTTTCACACCTCTGTCGCACATCTCTTTGAGTGCCATTGGCCAAAGCAAGTCCCATTGGTCAAGCTAAGATTGAAGGGTTGAAGAAATGGAAGCTGCCTCTTAATGCAAGGAGTTGCAAAAGCACGTGCAAAGGAGCCCTGTGTTTGGGGATGGGAAGACAAGGTGGACATTTTCACAGTCTGTGACAGCCCATATGACACCATATGATGGAGGTAGTAACAGTTGGACTGTGAAACATTACTGGTGGGTTATTTCTAAGCTAAGAGTTAGAAATTCACCAAAGTAGATTGCCACCTTAGTACCTGTCGAAGGAAATTCCCTGCAGAGACTTTTTTAAGTCTCTACCTGAGGGGCTGGAGAGATGGCTCAGCAGTTAAAAGCACTGGCTGCTCTTCCAGAGGACCAAGGTTCAGTTTCTAGCACCCACAGGGTAGCTCAGACACCTGTACCTCCAGTTAAAAGGAATCTAATGCCCTCTTCTGGCCTCTGCTGGCATTGCATAACATGGGTGCATTTACATACATGCAGGCAAAGCATTCATATACATAAAATAAAAATAAACAAATCAGGCTGGGCATGGCAGTGCATGCCTTTAATCCTCGCCCTTAGGAGACAGAGGCAGGCAGATCTCTGTGAGTTCAAGGCCAGCCTGGTCTACATAATGAGTTTCAGGTCAGCTGGGGCTACAGGAAGACCCTGTCTCAAAAAAAAAAAAAAGAGGACAAAAATATATTAAAAAAGAAATTTTAAGTCTACCTGAAACGACAAGGAATTGGATCATCTCAGATGACTAGGCAGTTTTATGTTCCACAACCCAAAAGAAAATTTTAAATGACATTAACCTAATCAACTGGCTGCTGACCTAGATAGTGCCTCCTCTCATTTAATGTTTAATGACTCAACTACTCCTCTTCTCTCATAAAACAAGGGGTTCTTCTGAGGATTATCTGCAGGTGCTAGGCTCCTCCTCTTTGTGCCTGCACAAAGGTCTCTGAGAGATACTCAAGCCTAGACCTGACCAGGAGCCACACATTAAACCAAATCACTCACAGGCATCAGTCAGGACCCTCAGCATTGCCCACCCTCCCATTTCCTGAGGTCTCAAATTATATACCCCGCCCCCAGTCTCTCTCAACAAAACAATATGAACATGAAGTCCACAGAGGGAGGCATCAATAGTATCAAGCAGAAATTATTTTTCTTCCCATTAATGTTGAGAAATAAGGGCTGGTTTGGATTACAGCTGGGAACTAACTCCCTTGTGGATGAGGGCAACCGGTCATGCAGGGATTTAAAACCCAGGCACAAGTCTGCCCTGGGGATCCCTCCATCAGGCTACATACAGGAATGCTCCCGGAAGCCATGCGGCAGGGTGACACTATAGTGATCAGAACTGAAGAGGCCAGATCAAAAATGACAGGAAGAGGGACTAAAGATTCTCCACTCCGCACATCCTTGTGTACCCCTGAGTAAACAAACACACACACCAACGCACACACCACTGCATTCCCACAGGCATGAAGCTTCATTGTCCTGTGTACCAGACAGGGTGCCAGGCCTGACCACAGTCTTCTCTACTCCGAAGTGATTGATTTATCATCCACCACCTACAGAGGCTCAGGAAGGCGCCAGGCCTCGGAGCTCCTGCCTCCCTCTTGGCGCTGGAAATCTTGTCCAGCAAAAGGAAGCCTGCCTTGTGCACTCCTTGGAAGTCCTAGCTGTCGGAGCGGCAGGGACAGGAGTGACTGGGGACATCTGTTCTGTCCACCCGCATAGGATGAACCAGGGCTGCATTAGCGCTCTGAGGCACGCGTCCTCCAGCCTTTTCCCGGGCGTTTCCTGCTCTGGGAAGCGCAGTGGGGGGCGCAAACCCAACAAGACCCAGGGTCACGCTCTGCATCCTGGGCTCTTGGCCCCGGATGCGGAGCTGGGGCGTGGATCTGGGCTCAGTCCCCGCAGATGGGAGCCTTCCCCGAAGCCCAGGCTTGACGGCGCCCCAGGGGACTCCAAAGTGCAGGACGGAGCTCCAGACAGCGGTTGTGCCCTTCCCAGTGCCGCAGCTGCAGAGCCCGGGGTGTGCCCCAGAGCAGGGGAGCCCCACCTTCCCCCTCCCGCTCGGTGCCAGCAGCCGTCTCTGGCCGAGAGCAGGTCCAGTGTTAGGGAGGCGGATCGCCGTTTGGGCAAGCTGGGACGCGGCGGGTGTGGTCCCCTCCTTACCTCCTCAGTGGGAGGCTCCGCAGGGAACTCTGGGTGCCGGCGGTGCAACCCGACGGCTTGGGCCCGGGGCATCGCCGTGCACCGCAGGGCAGGGATGCAGAGCGTCGGGGACACCTGGGCGGACTCTGCCCTCTTCGCGCGGGGCTGCGCCTTCCACGTGACCCCGGCGGGCCTGACCGGGAGAGGGCGGAGGCTCCCCAGCTCTGGCCCCTTTCCAGTGCCCCGAGGCCTCGAGCTGAACGCGGGGTGTGAAAGCCAGTCCAGGCCCAGAAAAAGGCAAGACGCCCGAGGGACGGCAGGAGGACTAGTCAGAGGGCCGTGTGGGTCAGGGGCCACCCTGGCCCAGGACACCAACTGTTCCTCCTGAGTGTGACACTGCCTTATTTTCTCTCTGATCAGCAGTGTAGGAACAGGACCCTCCACTCCAGCTGGGTTGGAGAATGAACTAAGCCGTGTGCAAGGACTGTCCTGGGTGGGTGCTAGTAAATGCTGCTTCCCTCCGGAGTCAGCCCCCAGGATGTGAGCTGTGAGTGAGGCTCCCTGGAACAGACACCTTCAGGGATGGGGTTCAGACCCTTCTATTTTACACTGCTCGCCCACCCCCACCAGTTCCACTCAAACCTCGAAATCAAGAGTTGATGAATTTTCAAGAGAAAGTGGGCTATCTTTTATGCACGTGTTTCTGATTTTGTTGGTGGTGGTCATGAATTTAAAATAATCATGATAAACATTTCCCTGGAGCTGTTAGGTGAAGCTGGGCTGGATGGGCAAGTGGTCCTCTGTTCCCGGTCAATTAACACCTCCCACAGAAAGGGAGAGGTCTGAAGGGCTGTGACTGGTCTGGTGTTGTTCTACTGAGAGGTTCATTAGGATTCTGGGTTAGGCACAGATCTGAAGATTACATGTAATCCTTAGAACTATGAATCCAATACTTTATATGCAAATGAGAATTTACAGGTATGTTTTAGGTCACTCTTAATCAGGTGCCCTTAAAACAAGGAGGTGCTGGGCTGGAGAGATGGCTCAGTGGTTAAGAATACTGGCTGTTCTTGTAGAAGACTCAGGTTTGAATCCCAGCACCCACATGGCAGCTAACAACTGTCTGTAACTCCAGTTCCAGGGACTCTGACAGCTTCTTCTGTCCTCTGAGGGCTTTGCACGACATGCGTGTACTTACCTACATGTAGACAATACACACATACACATAAAATAAAAATAATTTTAAAAAATCAAGGAGGTGCTGGGGTTGAAGAGATGGCTCAGCTGTTAAGAGCACTGATTTGCAAGGACCGGTTTTGGCTTGCAGCACCCACACAGTTGCTAACAACCACCTGTAACTCCATTTTCAGGGAGTTCAATCCCCTTCTTCTGGCCTCCTCTGGCACCAGGCATGTATGTGGTGCATGTGCATGCAAGTTAAATACTTATACACATGAAATAAAAATAAATGGTAGAGCCTTGCCCACCAGGTACAAGGCCTTGAATTCTGCCAGCACCACCCAAAGAAGAGAGGAAAAAAATCAACTTAAACCGTAATTCCAGCAACCAGGAAGCTGGGGCAGGAGCCTGAGTTTGGGCGATCCCATTAAAAAACAAAAACAAACAGAAAAACAGAAGTCACTCTGGATCATCTAGTTTGACCTAATGGAATCACAAGAGCTAAACTTAAAGCTGCAGATGGTGGTTGAGGGCAGGTGAGAGATTTGAAGTCCCTGGAGGACTGGGGGTAGGGGATGGGGGAGATAATGCTGCCTTGGAGATGGATGAGGAGATGGCCAGGAACTAAGCCCTGTGACCAACTGAACTAACTGGAAAACAAAGTTCTCCCCAACCCCATTTCCAGGAAGGAACACAGCCCTGCTCACATGGTTATTGAAGCTTTATGAGACTCTAGGCAGAGAATTCCGTCATGCCTTACAGATATTTGACATACAAGCTGTAAGAGAGCAAACACTGGAGTTGTATGTGTGTGCACATGTGCACATGAGTGTGTGAGTGCAGGTATGTCTGTACAGGTGCACATGTTTCTGTGTTTGGAGGCTAGGGTTCAATCTGAGGTGGTGTTCCTCAGGTACCATCTGCCTGGTTTTTTGAAGCAGGGTCTCCCATTGACCTGAAGACTGCAGATTAGGTTAAGGTGGGTGGCCAGTGAGACCCAGGGATCTGTCTGTCTGTGCCTCTCCAGCACTGGGATTACAAGCATGTGCCATCATACCTGGCTTTTTTAACCTGAGTTCTGAAGATCAAACTCAGGTCCTCATGTTTGCATGATAGGCTTATTATGGACTGAGCCATTTCCCCAGGCCTCTAGATTTTAATCTCCCCAATATGCCATGTAGGACAGTGGTCTGAAACAAGAACTCTGGAGTGGCCAACCCATCACTGCATTTCCATCCCTATCCCTGATGGTTTCCATCAGTTCTAAGACCTCAGGTCCTACAAACCATTCTTCAAGACAGCAGATGATTCCCCTCCTGTGTTCCCTTCACTCTTCATAACAAAAACTACCCGATGCTTCAGTTCAAGCATTTGCAGATGATGGCCATCCCACCAGGCCCTATGCACCTGCTGGAGGAAGAAGACAGGAATTGCCAACTTGGAATCCCCAGCTCCTAGCATAGAACAGGCACACAGTAACTGAAACAGAAGACCAAACCTCCATCAGCTTGTAGCCAAAGATCTGTGTCTACAAAATGCCCTCCCCAAATTACTTTCTACAGCTCTTTTCTTTCAGTGCTGAGGATCAAACCCTTTGCATGCCTCTTTCTGGCTGCATCTCTGGGGGCGGGGGTTGCTCATGCATAATAGACAAGCACTCT